TTCTCTAATATGGAATACAATATGCAGATTTATCACGTAAAAATGTAAATAAGAGAGAAAAATCAGAATTCTGAGTTTAAATTAAGCGAGTATTATATATTTTATGTCAGAAATTTGAGAAAGAGACGGACGGGAAAAGTATAAAATGAGAAAAGAGATAAGAGAAAACGCGTCACAGCCAATTGAATTTAAAAATAAATTTTTACGAAAGCAAAAAGTGCACACAGTTGTTTCCGGCAAGTAATACTCGTTTCTTTCCGTTTTGAATCCTCACTTCTCTAATAAGCCATGCGCGATATTCCATAGGAAACTATGTTGTCCTATTCAAACAAAAAAAAAAGAAAAAATAAATTAAAAAATTAGGAAAGAAAGGAGAATTTGCGCTGGATGATTAGCTAAATAGCGAGGAAAAAAGATAATTTCTAAATTACCGCAAAAAAAATAATAATAAACAAATAAATAAAAGCAAAACTATTAAGCACATGTACCACTAAACCATATATATATTTAAACTATTGAATGCTAAAGTCATATTCGTAATAATGAATAAAAGAAAATGGTTAATAATCGATTAACTGAATATTAAAGCTAGCCTGTAATCAATAGCGACGTAGTTATACTCTGACAGTAATTTATAGGGGTGATTCAGAGGTAGTCTATTAGCAGTTAGGGTCGAACTTTATCGAGATCACTTTCTCTCTAAACTAACGATGGAAAAAGAAGAAGTTATAACTTAATTATCTCTCGATGCTAACCTATTGAATTTAAAGGACATTAAAAGCCGCGCTGATGCGATTTCAGAAAAACCGACTATGTAGAGCGCGATCTAACTCTCTCCGTTACCTACCTATATCTTTATTCCTTACGTACTTTTAAAAAGAAAGAAATCGCCTCGTATTGTCCACCATTACACCAGTCATTAATATCGACAATTAAGGCGCACGTTATCGATGATGCCATCGAGAATGCGAGGAGAGAAAAGAAGCGAGAATAAACAGAAAAAAAGAGTTACTGTTTCCATAGACCCTGGTGGGACGATGCAATTGAACTGAACTCACCCGATCTCACTTGACTTTTAATTATGTCTCCGACAACAGCCTGGTCCGATAATAGTAAATCCATACCGGAGGAGATATAAGAGAGCGTAAATAAAAATTTGTTATATTTCTACGCTGGGCTCCTTTTCGAGGCAACGTTGATCGATATGAGAATCCCTGTTAACTGGTGAGCACTGTAATCGCCGCATTGTAATATTATTAACATTATTACGTTATTATGAAATTGTTGAAATAAATGAAATGAAAATAAACATCTTTTATTTCCCTCCCTCTTTTCGTAGGTTACATACACGACTACTTTTAATTTATCATAATAAATTTTCACCGATATTTTGAGAGAAGAATATTATTTTTCAATACTTTATTTATAAATTTGCATTTAAAATATTACGCTGCAAAATTGTCATTATTATAACATTAATTGAGATATTTTTAAAATGTAGGGGATATAAAAAGAAGGTCTAAAATTTCATGAGCTTTATTGATGTATTATTTCATTATAAAAAGGGCTACTTAACTTTTATGTTAAATTTCTCTTTTACCTACCAACATACAGTAATGCACGAATATATAGTCACTATATTATTTATCATGCATAATAAAGTACAAATTTTTTGGTTCAACAATTTTCAATTCTTTGTTTTATCCGCAAATTAAACTATAGTACATATTCGCTAATACGATCGTCTTCCTTTTCACAGTAGATAAAATGTATATGCACGGATTAAATAAGCTCTCTTATGGTTCATGTTAACTCGCACTGAATTAATTGCATGAAATTTACTGACATGAAGGGAAACAAATTAAAACGTGCCAGTGCTTCTAAGTTTTAATTATTGTATTTTTTTCCACAGGAAGACACGACATACGTCATTAATAATTAATGGCATTGTATAATAATGGTAACACACTGTCGATAAATCTAAATGTATAAAAACCTTTTTAACAAACTACGTTACAATGCAAACTTGTTTTAAATATAAAAGATTTAAGTATAACAAAATTTATTTATAAATATTGTTGATTAATATACACGAAAGAAATAAAACAATACTTAAATTTATTTTTGAAAATTGGACAAATTTGTATTCCATTCGCACATAAGAATTTGTCAAGATTAAAATAAGTAATTATAAGCAAGGACATTTTTCCATTCTAGAATTCCGCGTCTTCTTATACTGTCATTATCAAGCGTTTTCAAGTAAGTCTACACTTATTTTAATATGCTTCAATAAACTCAACGATCGGTTTATATAACAGATTTAGATACATCTAAAAAAAACGATTGCAACAATTTTAACATCAATATGAATTCGTTAAACAGGATAACTACCAATGCACACAATAATGCCTTATTATATTAAGAAATTCTGCAGAAATTCTGAGGTAATCAATTAACAATTAACAATTTAATCGAATAAAAAATCACAACCTTTGGCAAATTAGAACTAGAAAATAATTTATAAATATTGTAAATTTTTAGTTAATATATTTAGTTAATATATTAAGAAATTTTATAGGAAATTTTGCAGACTGTATAAAATTATAAAGAAATATGGGAGATTGCATTTTCTGTTGTTTCTCATTGTAACAAAATTCTCGATATCCAACAGTCGATTGCAACCTTCTCCCGGACTGAACGTTCTTTATTAGGGAAAACTTGACTGTTTAACAGCCTCTCTGTACAATATATACGGTAAGCTATGATGTTCTACTGCTATGATGTTCTACTGACGCACGACGTTCTTATAACAAAGACTCGTGCCTCCTAATATACGCATTTATAATTATTGGCGCAAAACATTGGCTCATGTTCTCATCCCGCATTTAACTAAACCCGATTATTTTAATTAATTCAATTAAAGACTTTTCACTTATTGCAAAATTGCTTATGCAAAATTTCTTATTTAAATTATATCTATTTATAAGTATTTTGCACAAGAGACAATAAACTATCAATATTAATAATAATCAATATGTTTGAAAAGGGAAGATAGAGATACATGTTAATTTAATTATAAGAAAAAAAGTTAATATGAAAGATTAGGCGAAATGCAATTAAAAAAAAAGACGTATATGTTATGTCTACGTATTTTAAATAATGTATTAAGTAATATTTAGTACTGCTTATAATAACATACAGATATTTTTCATGTAATGTATAAATTGGCGATATAAGAGCATGAGCTACTTTATATTTAGGAAGACCAATTTCTCAAGTTAAAATGCACTCAAAGTACAGTTTTTGTTTTTTCAATCAGTAACATACAATCAATTTTTCTTTACTTGATATACTCTGAAAGTGAGTGTATTTCACAAATAATTATTTTAAAAATAGCTTAACTTGAATTGGCCTTCCGAATCTCCTGAAGATCATCGATCAAATATGAGCCTATTTCTTCGTAATTAATTTAATTTACAACATTTCGAATTTGCGTAAAATTCGTCACTACGAGCTCATTTGTATATCTGATGAGCATGTTAAGATCGTCACGATTCTATTAATATTTATGATTAACGCCACGATAACGGGCATCAAACGCGAGATCGACTAAATTACGATGTGGCGACTTGCACAATTATTATCAAAATTATTTCAAATCTATACCTAAAACGTTATCGCGCGATTGACTCTGCGTGATCATCCGCACGTCGTAAAGAACGTTTCGACCTTATCTTATGCGGAGATTTATAACTTTGATATCGAGAATTTGATCGATACTGATCGAAGTTGATCGCCAAAATTATGATCAAGAAATGAAGTTACGAAGGACCGATTTTTCATCACGATGTTTAATGTCCAATTTGTTAACATTATAAATGTAAAATATACACATATAATTCCAAGTAATTTAAATACAAGAAAGAAGAACTATATTTAATAATGCATTAATAAATTGTGATGAAATTACGGTCCTAAAAAATATTCAATAATTTTACATAAGTTTTAATGTTAAACGTGAATTCCTGTAAGTCTGAGTTATTTTATAAGAAATAATATTCTTGTTTCATATTTTCCTAAACTTACCAGACTATTGGATTACTTGTATTCTAATTAAGATATATTGAAGTTGACTAAACAGGTTTGTGCGTACCATTAATTAATTTATATTAATATATTACAATAATTTTTCTAAAGTTCGATTAATTAATTTCGTATTTTTCTAGGTCCGATATATAATACTACACATGCGGATTTCAACGTTTAACATTAAGAATGGTAACTACACTTTTAAAGGAGTAAACATGATATTTTTAATAACACTCATACTATGTTAATTAATATAAAATATACAAAATTATAAATTTTGTGTTACAAATAAATCAACAATTAAATCAAGTTATTTCTATTAAAAAATTACCCAATTATTAAAATATTTTGTAATATAATTTTATCTATAAATAAACTTTATAAACTTCAAGCAATTTATTAATTTAAAAACCATAATATTAAAAAAAATATCTTTGTAGCTAAAAATAAATAAAATAAATAAAATTAAGATAAAATATTATCTTAAACAGAAAATTAAAAAGTTGATCTGATAATAATATGGTTTCTCGTTGTTTAAATCTTTGGAAATACCTATTTCTTCGATAAAATGAAAAACGAGAACTAGTCGATAATCATTTCATAAATTCTTCGTCTAAGCGTGTCGCAATGGAGCTACCGGAAGTTAATGGTATCGGGGAAGACAATAATCGCAGAGGCAGCCATGATTAACGCTAATGGAATTATTATCTACATAATATATGCCATTTCGATCGCTCGAGTTTCGCCATGTTTGGTCATGCTTTCAAGAGAGCTTAGAAATCGGATTTTACAATTTTAGATAAAACCGAAATACGCATAGCATGCGAATGGCAGAAAACTTTTATTAAAAAAAATTTGTACTTTGCATAGAATTTTATAGAAATTTGCAAGTATAAAAAATAATTACTTCTATTAAAGAGATGCTTGAATTATAAACATTATATGTTTATAATTGAAATGGTAAAATTATCCGCTTGGCTTTGGAGTTCTTTTGAAGGGGACGAAATGAGAACGGTCGCGCGCGCGCGCGCGGCGCGTAACAATGGCATTATTTGTGATTGCGCTTCGTTGGGGCGAATCGGATTACTTTCCGCGATAAATTTCTATAATACGATCCTGGTCCACGTACTCAAAAATATGAGGCGCGTCCATTAGAATCCCGACGGTACCCGCGGTCGTCACTATAAAGAATATATAAAGTTGTAATCGATCGATCACCATTGCGACGTATTTCCAATCCTCCCTTGTCTGAAAGAGAGATATTCGGAAAAGAGAGATATTTAGAAAAGCGATCATACACTGTTTTATAGTGTTTGCGTGCGTGAAAGAATTGCGTGAGACTCTCTTACCTGTATATACAAGTCCTCGTTTCTGAGATGTTCTGCTATGAACTCCACAGCTTCGGTGGCCTTGCTGGCTTCCGGGCTAAGTAACACCGAATCCGAACTTTCGGATCCTCTTCTGTCGCCCATGCCCTCTCCTCCTCCAGCGCCACTCGAGCTGCTTGTGGTGTGATGAACCTTACGATTAATCTTGCAATTAGGATGATGCAGATCGGATAGCTCCATCACCTCCATCTTCGATTTTGCTAGAGAGGCTGGCAGATGCTTCGGCACCTCGGTAGGACTTCCTGAATAGGTGGAAGCTGGCAGTGTTACATTTGGTATCTCCATCATCCATCTGATAAAGTAGCATCCATTTATTCGATTAATATTCAATAGTAAAAATAAAGCAAAAGTTTTTATATTGTTTTAACAGCACGTTTAATTAATTAAAACTTTCTAATTAATTACAATTTATTATACATACTTATAATTGTTATGTAAAATAAATCAAATTTATTTTAATTTGTTGATATTAATGTACATAATATTATTTTAAGTCTAATTAATTTTTGATTATAAATATTATATAAATATATTATAAATATTAGAGTTATTCTGGTTACTATATTAAAAAAAAAAAATGCGTACCTCAACCGTGTTTTTTTTGGTCGTTTCATAAATAGAATAGTTGGCAGATATTTAAGGAAGATCTTGCGTATGAGCTGAGGCATTCTGTGAGTCCTCGGCCCGCGGAAGTTCCAGTTGATGATAATCACAGTCACAAGGATACTGACAGTATTCATAATGAAGGTGAAGAGCAAATATTTGGCTATCAATGGCAGCACCAGAGAAGTAGGGGGTAAAATTTTGCTGACTAACAAAAGGAATACAACCAGTGATAAAAGAATGCTAATTCCCAAAGTAACTTTTTCACCGGCCTCTGCTGGAAGATAAAAAACGAGCACGCAGAGGAAAGAGATCAGAACTGTCGGCAGTATCAAATTCACCGTGTAGAAGAGAGTTTTCCTGCAGAATTAATACGAATGTTTGTATAATTCAATCGTATGTATATAAGTATTATTTAAAAGCTTTAATTTTGTAATCATGAAATCATCAATTATTATTAATTTATTAATCAATTATTAATCAATTATTATTAAAGCTGTCAATATCTATGTCAAAAATGTATATAGTAAAGATTAAAATAATATAATTACCTGCGAATAATTATATAGAAAGTAATGTCTGTCTCTGTGGGAAAATCTCCGCGGTAGATGTTGAGATATGCCGGAACGCTGATGATATCCCAAGTACCGCTTTTCCAATAATCGGATAGATCGACGAAGTTCTTGTCGTTGTAAAGTGCGAGAGATACTTGATCACCATTGAATGTCCATGAGCCAAATTTCATGATGCATGTTTGTTGATCGAAGGGAAAATATGTGACGTCGATGGTGCACGAGCTCTGATAAATCGCTGGCGGCACCCAGAGCACTTCGCCATTCGGATATATCAGTACATTACTTTTATAACGAACTTCATAGTTGCCGTCAGCACTATAAACAAAATATAAATTTAATTATTAAAAACATAGATGAAAGCTTATGATATACTAATTTAAAAAAATAATTGTTTAATTGCCACAAAATTCAAAAATAATTAGTTATATTATATTCATTTTCTAATTAAAATAATTTCATGATAATACAATATCGAAATAGTCTATTTTAAATAATAATAATATTATATAATATATATATATGTAGATTTTAATTTAATAAAAATACATCACAATGTTTGAAATAATATAAATAATAAAATCATTGCATCAAATAAAATGCATATATAATTATTAAATTTTTTAACTTTAATAAAATATGTAAATAACATTATTTATTTTTAATGTACATACTTATTAAATAAGACTATGTCTGGTTTCCACACTTTATCGGGTGGTAATCTGAGAACACCGATTCCACCATAATCTGCTTCATCCCATTGCAACTGGTAATCCATCCACACAAATCTCAACCATACGTTTGATTTCATAATCTGATTTTTTTCGTTCTAAAAAATTTATATTCATTTATTTAAATATTAATTTAATATTAATTTAAACACACACGTATTTAGCTAATTCACGTGAAAATAATGATGCGAGAATATCTCTCACCACATTGATCAGTTGCACAAAGGCGAGGCCAAACCTCACGTGCACTTTTTCCGTCATATTTTGCACTGGTCGGATGAGTTTATTGTATCCTCTGAACAAGTCTCGTACGAGTCTCTCCTCATCTTCGGAGCACAAACCTGTAAAGTAAATAATTACACGATCAACGGGATCAGAATTGGTTAATAAAATTCTAAGAGAATCGCATGAAATAAATCGCATAAATTAAAAACTCGCACGTCGCGTCTCGCCGTTACACACTTCATCTGTTTCACTTTCTTTCGGCTATTAGAAAATGATTTGTTACTTCTACATCCTGTACTTCTTCTACGACGCGCAAATTTTTTAAGCTTTATTTCGTCGCTCCGGAAGCGGGCCTTACCGACGCACAGAATCGCTGAGATTAGAAATAGTCGCACGAGACGCAGGCAAAAATACATTTTGGGCGGGTTCGTTGTGGGGTTGGTTGTGGTCCCACCCGAACGCTCGAACGCGCCGCGAGCACAGCCGCCACCACCGCCGTACCTCCACTGTCACCACCACGGATCAATATAGAAGCGCAGACGCTGGCCAATAATTGCATTTCCTTACTTGCAACCCGACACACCGAACCCACCCTTGTCGAGCAGTTGCGATTCTTGTCATCGCATATTTTTATGAACTCCGAAGATTCAGTATCAAAGACATCGTCACATTGAAATTATCGTACGATCACTCAGCAAAAAGAGATGTTGTCAGGGGAACGCGAAGAACATCACCGACTGTAGCAAGATTTTCAATGCGCCGAAGTAAACTAAACTACCCTCGAGAGGTTGGTAACTGGTGGTGGTCGAGCGTTCTTGCAACGAACGCGCTACTTTACCGAGGGGTTCTGGACAAGCTGTGGAGAACAATTATATAGAGAGGGATGAATAAGGAATAAAATTAAATATTAATTTTTGAATCTCAAAAAATTTTTTGACAAACTTTGTAAAAATTTTCAAAAGAATTAAAAATTTTACGTAAGAAAATAATATTTTTCTAAATAATTTACATTTACTTGAAAAAGCGAAAAAATAAAAATTAATTTATTTATTTGTAATATTTCTAATAATTATTATTAGATACATTATAATACGCTAATATATATTTTAGTATTACTAAATAATAATTATAAAATTTGCATTAAATTATTGATGCATTATTAGTTTAATTTAAACATATGTATTTTTTTCGATATCCAATATATTTTTTAACTTATAATAAAGATCTATATATAATAATTTTACAAGAAATCTTCTTTAAAACAATAGTTAAATTTTTGTACATTCTATATCATATATAAATGTTTGTTTAAAACTTTAAACGTACTTTAAAAACTTGCTTAAGATAAACTATTGAACTATCGAAGATGCAATTATTTTGTTTTCTAACTTGTCGATGATATATAGATTGCGTCACGGCAATATTATACAAGTGGCAATATCATGTATATGTTCCAAATTCTTCGAAAAACATATGTTCGACAAAAATTTCAAGTATACTATTTCTTATTTCGCTATCCATAACGCATAATGTGATAAAAATAATATTATAAATATAATATATGCATAATATATATATTATCGTGAGATATAATTTTCTCAGTGATTTTTCGTAAGAAATTTAAAGGTCTCGAGCCGCGGCTTTTGCAGAGTTTTCTAAATTGAATTTTAAATTTATCGTCATTTACATTTCTATTAGCTCGTTATCCATGCATTACCTTTTCATAAAACATAAACGGATGGAACTTGCAGAGGCCACAATGGTATAGTGATTTTATAATAATAATCAAAGAATAGATTCTAGATAAACATTTTTATGATAACCTAGGCTCGATATTTCGTCAAATATATTAAAACAAATTCAACTTTTTTTATTTATTTTTTAAATAAAAACTTATTTTTTATAATTATTTTCAACATTCTTTGCTTATTTGTTTTTATTACATTTTATTTTATTTTTATTGCAACAAACAATTTACAAATAATAATTAGTCTCAATACGGCAATTTGCCATGTGATCATTGTCAGTATATGTTTAGTATATTGAACAAATATCTTTGCAAATCATATCAATTCTAGTTATCAACAATGTATTGACTAAATTTGACCATCGAGTAATACCATCGTATAATACTGCTGTGGTAAACGCTGCTATTGACACAACATTGGCAAGAACATGCGGAGTAGGATTGATACGACACTACTATATAGTTGAGTTAGTACTTTGAAGACATTACTGTTGCTGATACAGTTAGTATTGGCGGATATTAGCTCGAATCAATAATATGAAGATGCATACTGTTTATCTCCAAGTTTTGGCACAACATGTTGGATTATAACATTATTAAACATTTATGAAATATCTTTACAATATATCAAAATGTTATTATTTTTAGGATTAATTTTAGGACTTTTTTAGGATTTTAGGATTTTTAGGATTATTGTAGTATAAACTTATTAAAATTTATTTTGATAATAAGGACGGAATGTCTTAATGTCAGTAATTTGCAACGACCAAAATTGACGTCAACGTCTACCCATGTCCGATCATCACTACTGAATCAACGTCAGATTTTTATTTGACAATATTCGCAACTCCTCGATAGATTTTTACTCCTCGATAGATTATTATCGAATATTATGGTGCTCGGAGGCACCATAAAATTCTATATCGAGTGCGCAATTGCAGACGGCTTTAACGGCGTCGTACGAATCACGTCAGGAGCAATCAACGGTGGCTCAGTTAACCAGAAACAATAACTCCGGAAACGCCAAATAGACGGGGTTCGGGTAATAACGGCGCGCTCGGTAAAATAACGGCATGCGAAATCCGCGATATATCGCACCTCGCACAGGAAACAAAGCCGTCGTCCGCCTGCATGCATGCGTTCTGATCCACCGCAAAGCTGCACGCGCGCATCGACCTGTGTATGTATGCACAGGTACGCGTTATTGTTTGATCAAACGACGCCCGCGTGCAACTGCATCGAAGTAGATCGTGTATGACGAGGCGCACAACTTGGCCCAAACTCGCCGCAACGAAGCTGCACGCGGCATCGCGCTTTTTCAGGAAAATATTTGCAGTCGCAAGTACAGCTCGCTTTCTCTGCCTCATGCACGCTGCCTCGTCGCGCGCAGAGAACTCTTCAAAGACCAACTATTCGCATTCGAAACGCGGCGGTGTAACGAATTTCCGAACTCGATGTAGCACGACGTGTATTATTTGTATTTCATTTTGTTTGGCTGAATATATATATTGTTAACGCTCCGCTGCGGGGATTTGTTTTGTTTTCGCAACAAAATGAATGACATTTCGAAAAAGCGGGAAAGAGGAAAAGGCTATACAAAAACGCAAATGACGATAAATCTGAATACGTAAATTATATATATTATATAACAGAGTCAAAATAACTATTATTTACATGTATTATTTTTTTTTATTTAAAAAAATAATACGACGTTAATATTTAAAAATAATTTAAAAATTGCAAATATTAACGAATTATTTTTAATATTTGACAATTAAAATCAAAGACATTTATCGTTTAGTTATGGACACATCTGCTTTTATTTAATTTTTCAATTAAATATACAATAGAAAGGTAAAAATAGGAAAACGGCACAGAAAAGCAGATGCATTCATTTTTGCGTAGAAGACCTTAATCCCTTTCAGAGGATGACTACCTTGTGTTACCGAGAACCACTTCTCGGTAGTGGTCGGTCTTTTTTAATTTAATAGACACATATAACTACGTGGCGCATCCGTTTTCGTTTTTTTAGGTCGTGCATTTAAAGCGACCGTAGTCGCCGACTGAAAGCCACTCGCTCGTCCTCAGTATGGAATGAAGTAAAAAATTTTCGCTTGCGTGAAGACACGCGCATTTCGCAGCGCGTGCGATTTTATAAAATTCTTTGCGCCATCACTTATTGCGTAACCATGGAAATTCAGTGGCGATAAAACACGCCGAGTTTTATCACCCATAATGTAGAAAAATGCATAAACTGCAGACGCGTCAGGATAGCCGTAAAAAACACGTTACTTCTATATTAAGGCGTCGCGGCTGCAGTAAAGCATCCGTATGGGAGTTACATCGGATCGATTTTTTTGGCAGACATGTAAATCAATAAGTTCCGATTTTATTATGAGAAACATTTGAATATTTATTGTAATAATGCTTTTTCTAGCTACAATTTTTCTCACGAAAAAGAATTTTATCTCATATTTTTATTAAATATCAACAAATATAGCTTTTTAAATTAATTTTAATATAAATAATTTACAAATATATAGTTATAATATGATTAGCTAATAAACTATATATTTTTAAAATTTTCTCAAATTTATATATTTTAAAATATATGATAACTCATTAAAGCTTATAATCACAAATAACTAACTTAAACAAAAATATTTATTTTATTAAAATTATTTTAGAATTATATTTGAAATTTAATGATTTGAAAATAAGATATATTCAATAACTTTAATTGATGACATATTTATAACATATTCCTTTTCGTACAAAAATGCAATTTCGGTATATATATATAGATCATGTGAATCTTTTCAAGATCATTCTAATTTTTGCATTCAGGTTAGCGCATGCAACATGAAACCTACGGAATTTAATGAAAAATCTTTTTCGTTTCAGGGAGATAAAGGGAGATAATATGACATTTCAATAGAACTAATTAACGCTTCTTTTGTCAAGTTTGCATTCATCCATGACCATTGTTGGTCACTCTTAAATAGACTCTCCTGTGAAACTAGCTACGTTTGACAATTCATTCGGTTAATTTATTTTTTTGTTACAATCTGCAAAGTCGCATTGTTGTGATTTGCGATCAGCATGGAATAAAACCTATTCTTTGTTCCATAAAATACGCTTGAATGTGGTCGGCGAAATCGAAATTTCGTCGTGAAAGACTCGCATTGTTTAATCACTTTGCTAAAATATAGGGCGTGTGTCTTTTAAAACTCTTTCTTTCTATTCATACGTGGAAAAGACAAGCAAAAAGAAATTCTATAAATTTTTGCATAAAACGCAAAAAAATTCCATATTATGCAAAATAAAACGTTCTAAAAAATTACCTTTTTTGATATGACATTAATACTTGTACGCATGAAATATTTGTCACATTCATAATTTTTGATGGCAATAATTCTTTGTTTTCGATCTGAAAATTTTATATTTTTAGGATTATATACTTTTGAGGGCTTTGTAAAGCATAAGATTTTAAACGAGAAATATATTACTCTTATATATTATATATAGTATATCCCTCCTTTTCAATTGGAGCTATAATTCAGGATTTTATGCATCTCTACGCAAAGATTGGAGTGTAAGCCGCGTCGAAATTCTACCTTGTGATATGCAATAAGCCCCGATAGCGGCGTTAAACTTGAGGATCAAGCAGATAACGAGCGAGGTTACCGTCAATCTCCACGTAAATCGCAGACAAATGACCACTTCAGCATATGTCCAGCCCGCCCCTTTGTCTTCGTGGATATCGTTCGCCTATCGATCCCGCGCCGGTCAATATCTCGAGGTTCTCAATTAACCACCAAGCTGCCGATCCAGTGTTCCCGTGGCAAACGCCTTAATCCTTCCGCATCCAGCTAGACACGTACATTGGCTTGTCGGTTGATCAAACCGACTCTATTAATCGGCTCTAGTAAACTCGAATGCGGATCAAAGCTTTTGACAAAGCTTTGCGCAAATTCCTCCGCGGAGTCAATAATTTCGAG